AACATAGTTTTTTCAATTACTTGTGTTTGTCATTATCGATGCTGTTGGTGTACCCACCAGCCACAAGTCTATTGTGACGGTAACGAGTGTACTGATTGTACCAGTTGGGTTGGGCACAGACTGTACCGGCAACAATGCTCAGTAAATGGTTGATTAAGACAACAACAACGTCAAATTAGAGAGGTTGAGGATTGAATAGAGAAGGCTCCCGCCGCAGCAGCCTGCGTGCTCAACGAATCACATTTATACAGCTCAGTTTTCCTTACTTTATGGTGTTGTTATCATAACACTTAACATAACGTGTATCAAATCGTATTTTTTCAATAGCTAAAACACACTTTATGTTTTTACAGTCTAACAGTGTAAACATATGTAAACATTTACATTTATTTGTAATATTTGCCTAGTCGGTTTAACTTCACAATGAAAACGCCAGAAATTGTAAATAATTAATCCAACCATTTAACATACGCTTAGCTATAATATTAGCCTGTGCTTTATTTTTTACGACCACAGTCAATTCTAAGTCCTTGATCTATGATAATACGACTCATAGTTTACAAACTGTCGGGGTTTAAATCAAAACCATAACATAACTCGGGAATCCTTATATAATACGTAATCCTTGGACCTTTTATAACCAGGTTTTAGTCGGTCCCACACCCTGTTGGGCTAATCAGGGTTGGAATGTACAGTTTTTGTCACTAAGAGGGTTGCTTACTATATCGTGGTAGTGCAGGTGTCGAATATGTGTCATAGCACTCTAGTTCCAACAGGTTTTAAGTGCTGTGAGAAGGAAATTAGATAAATAAATAATTGATCATTTAATATCCTCGCTGGGTATAGTCAAGTAAACTTACCCGGCTTTACACCTAATAACAGATATTGTTGGACTTTCAAATTGTGTAAATAAGAATTAATTTAAGTGTGCAAATTTTATTTCAAACTAGCAGAGTACCCGTCCTTCGTACGGGGTTGGCATGTAAGTAAGTATAAAGTGACATTAGCGTATGGTTTGACAGCTCCATTTAAGTAATGTTAAATAATGTTTACATTCAGGATAGTGACATCATTATTTTAAATATGATCTGTTCTAATATTCATGCAGTATTTAAATGAATGTTTGAACCAGCTGTATGGAATTGTGAAATCAAAATTAATTTGACAGTTAGTACTGCTTGTTTACATTTTTAAACTTTGTAGGTTTGTTCTTTGTTGTCATGGATACCATCAATCAAAATTTACTTTGAAATCTCTCACCTCCGATTTTTGAAAGCCCACGGGGCATAGCCCTAGGACAATATTGAAGCGGGAATAGTTCTATATGTATCCTCGGAACTGTAGCTTCATGTGTGTGCAATTTGAGCCCAATAGGTTCAGTAGTTTTTGAGATTAGCTCATACAAACACACACACACACACACAGACACCACCTCTTCTTTATAATAGTATAGATAACTAGAATATTTAGTCTTCTCTGCGTTAGTTTGACGTGCATGTCATTTTAGTAGATTCGGAGGGTTTTGGTTAAACGTTGATTATGTAGAACAACACGTATTATCTCACTAAAAAAGTAAACATGCCTTATTTTGAAGTGACTTTAGAGAAACAGTTCTATTTTCTACTCTGACTGCAAAACATTGCGTAGATTAGAAACTCCAGAAAAATAACCGTACTTAGTTTTACAATTAACCCAGTCTTTTCTTATTTAAATCACCCGTTTCATAAAGTAAAACTATATTTGGCAAACGTGACCAAAGTAAACAACGTGGTTTTTCATTATGAGGTCAATGAGTACCAAAGCCATACAAATTGTATATTTTTGTATTGATAGATTCACTTATACTCGGTTCTTGATTATTTAGACAGGCTGATGGAAAATAAACACACCAGAAGTAACTGCTGTTTAAACCTTTCTGAATAAGATGTTTGAAACAAACAAGAGAGAGTATGTTCACTGTTATGATATTTCCTTATCGGAAGACGTAGACCAGAAGTAGGTTATTGAGACCGAGTGTTGGTGTTGTGTTTACACTCGTAGAGGGTGTAAGACGAGGAGCGCGACGACCTTCACGGTGTCTCTCTCTGCCTCTCACGATAACCCAAGGTCATCTGGACACTGAACATTCCTGGCTGGGGCGATATCAGTGGGCTACACTGTTGGAATGTTTGGAGACTGAAGAAGACGTCTCATTTATATGGACCAGATGTATCCAGTCTACTATTGAAAAATAACATGGTTAAATTAAAGCTACCCACTGTACGCATGTCAACATAAAAATTGTTTCTCTTATTTATTAATAGTTAACGGAACAATTTCTTTTGGTTTGGTTTGGTCAATTAGGTGGATGGAATAAATTAAATTATGTTGTTCAGAAAGAACGTTACCATAAAAGGGATATAGAAATTTGTGCGAGTGGGTACAAAATAATTGTTTTTATATCTTCTAGTTAACGCTAAATTGTTTATTTTTATCTTTTAACAAGTACTTCGATTCTACACCATATGCAGCACGATTCTACACCATATGCAGCACGTTAGACTATACATAATATGAGTAAAATCAATAATTGCTGCAGAACCCATATACTTTTATTTCGTATGTTTTTACCCCATTAGCATTTTAACATGTTTTGCCAGAGAACAATCCAAACCCGCAAAACCTTTTCTTTTTTCTATACTATACCTTTATTTAGAGAGAATCACTAATCAATAGCCCAACAACAAATGAAAAATAGTATCTGGTTCTAGAACTGACCCTATTTATGTTCAAAAGAGCAATATTCAGTATCAGAACTTAAGGAAAACATTGTAGTCACTCAGCTATCTAGACGATTTATTCAGTAGATCCATATGCTTTTTCCATACAAGATTAAATGATACTATAAAAAGCAAACAAAATGCTGATAAGAGTACCTAGGTTTGCTGCACTGGGAGTTCAGCTTGGAGCTGTGGGTAAGCAACTCAAGGTCGAGTAAACAGAGATGGCAGACAAAGTATAAGATTACTGGGTAAAAAATGCATGACTCATTGATGCAAAAACTTCCCCAGAGATTGTGGGAGCGAATCCAGTGTAACTGATCTGATCCCCACGTGGAAACAAATATCAGTTATGTTGAGGATAATCCGAGGATATAAATACTTGCGAGTGTAGCATCTGCGACTTAGTGTATATAAATAAAAGATCTTCTGTTATGAATAATAAAGAGGTGACTTTCTTAATAATTTTTCATTAAATTCTTTGGAACCGTTGTGGGGTTGGTATTGTGGCATTGCTTTAAGAAACCCAAAATGCAACTTAAACATGAATGACTAAGCTGTTGTATGATATATTGTACGTACAAACAAAGTGAGTTTTCATCTCAAAACTTTAACTTGTACTCTACCAAAAACTAAGAACATTGACCTGAGAGAATTAACAAAGATAGTGATGTCAACATAAAGCAAACTGAGCCACAAAAATACCACTTGGAAAGATATTTTGGTGAACGTATAGTATCCATGTGTTAGGGCCAGCGTATTCCTCATCTGTCTTTTATATAGGAGACATTACTCAAATACAGCCGACCCTCCTTTCACGTTTTATTCTCTTCTGTGGATTTATAACTTGGACTTTATATTTGCTAGGCCCATATGCTAAAGTTATATACCGTAGAAAGGTTCCTTTAGGCTTAAGGTTGTTTTAATTAAATTTGAAAACCCTTTGATGTATTCAAAGGGTATTACATACATTCTTACTTTATTTTTTTTAAATTTCAATGCTAACTAATTTTAAATTAACAAAGTTATTTCATAAAATGTCTTAATATTATACAGATGCAAAACTGGAGTTAAATTAAGTAGGATTAATTTTTAATAGGGCGAAGTGTTGCCATGGGAACCCTTTTGTGTAAGAGGAATCAAATTAGTCAATTTGTGTTTAGATTAATTTTGTTAAGTTTACATTTGAGTTTCTCAAACAGATTTACATCAATAGAAAAATTGTCAAAGCAATTTTTGTTGAATACCAAATTGTTGGCTACGGTATAGCCTAAATTGGTAAATTTTACCATCAAATTGCATTCTGTTTGGGGCTTCCTCAAAAAAATACAAATTCTCGAAGTAATCTCCAACGAATATCCTCGATCACGAAATATTTGTAAAATAAATTTGCTTTGAACTATGATGCTAAACTCACACCCAGTTTTATGTTTCAAAGTCTCAACATGGAATCTGTTTGTTCGTATTGGTAAAGGACTTATTTGTTTTGTAAATGATTTGTCAAAGTATTTGCTTCAACGTTTCTTTTTTCATTAACTGCCAACGCCATGAGAATTATTAACAAATCTTGTCAAACAGTACATATTACTTTGGTTAATTGCTAAATCATTTCCTTGAACATGAAACAGTTCTTTGTTATTGAATTATTCCAAACGAATGCCCAGGTCAAGATTTAAAATTTCAACGGTACCCCTTCAATCAGCAGAGATTGGTGGGTCAATTGTGGAAACAGTGGCTGCGGATGGGTCAGGAATGTGAGATCCCACAACTATTGAGCTGGTTCTGATGAGGTCACAATACCAGGCGGAGGGAGATCAATGGTGTACAATTGGTCTATTTTGATCCGGAGCCCAATTGTGGCAGACAATGTGAATGCTTCTTGCCCACTTGGCCACCGACTGATCAAAATAAATGTCACCATTTAGTCGCAATTTGTCTCATTTACTGAGTGTCTTTCACTGGGGAATCTTGTTTGGTGGATTGTTCACTTTGTTGTTTTGTGTGTTTAAAAGGTAATAAGAGGGTAGAAATTGGTATCGATAAAATTTAGATAAGGGTATGGATTGTTTGTGAGAGCTGTGCGAAGTATTTATAATAAAATCCCTGGTGTCAATGCACAGAGGTTCTAATTTATTTTTGAACTACCAGATTGGTTTTAGAAAGCTTTGTAAATTAAGATAGTTTTACTGTTCAAGAAAATTGTTTGAGAAAATAATTCAACAATAATTTGTTTTGTTGCAGGTTGTGGAAGCTGAAGCAGCGGCAAACACAGAAGCTCTTCCCATCAAGGATGACGAGCCCAAGGTAAATATGTGGAAATAATTAAATAGTAGTAAAAAAAATCATTAAAAAAGTTGATTTGAACTCAAAAGTCATCATTATTGGTCAGGATTGTCATCTATTTATATTCATAGAGATTCAATCTAAGTACATTAAGAAAAGAATGAGATGAACAGGTAAAAAGTAACATTAATATAATATAAATACCTCGTCACAGCTCTTAAGTTTCTGTATAACCAGAAACTTCAGAGCTGTGACGAGGTATTTATATTAGTCATCAATTCAGCTCAGGGGCTAAACCATGTCTGTTGAAAAAGTAACAGTCGTCATGTTTCTAAGCTTTCCAATATGGAAAGCTTGGATATTGTTATGTAGAAAAAGTACACCACAAAGGTACTGTTTATCTGATGTATCTAAGCTATACATGGCCAGGTTAACAGCCTGTTACCTGAACTAGTAGTGTATTCTTTTACAGTCATAATACAACTAATTCAATCTTGCTGATAATTCAGGCCTAAGTGTTGTCCAGTTTCACACTTTTTTCTGGGATCAGGTTAGTCTACAGTGTTAGCAAAACGAGAGTGCCTATGGAGACCAGGTCAAGTCCCTTCAAATGCATGAACCCCCACAGTTCTTCATCGGCACTCCCGTTTTGCTAGAGGTATACAGATTTGAAGAATGATATCGTCAATATACGTGATTCAATTGATTTGATATCACGGACGATTAAACATTTAAAAAAATGACAAAATAAGTGTTAACAAAAACCATCTTCTTTATTCCATTAAAACAACAACTAAAACTCTTATTTGTTTTTAACCAAAAACAATTTAAAAACATCTGACTATATAATATTTTATCTATATAAGAAAACAGTCTTTTGGCAAAGAAATAAGAATATTATATTGAGTTGTTTTCTTTGTAAATGATTTATCATCGTACGTCAATCATCCCCCCCAAAACCCTCAATATATTTTAAATCTTCCTCTTTCTAGACCATATGTTATACACAGGTGATGCTTTGTTATGGTCTTCTGCTTCTTGTTCATCATCTTCGGCTTGAGTTGCTTCACGGAGAGTTTGCGGAAGTAATTTCAACTCCGACATGTGTACCTTAATTGGTGGATCAGACCTCAAGAGGTACACTCCCTTCCCTAGCTTGTGTTCCACTTCAAAAGGTCCAAGCCATTTCCGTGCCATCCCTGCATGCACATTTTTAAGCTTACTACTCAAGGGATGGTTTCGCCGAAGAACCAACGTACCCGGTTTCAGGTCCTGCTCTTCAGGTACATCGTTTCTCTCAGCTTCCCTCATCGAACTCTCTTCAGCTTGTCGATTCTTATGTTTGATTTGTTTCACGTTTTCTTCATGCCATGCAGTCAAATTCATAGTTTCAGGAGAGTTTTCATGCATGAAGTTCCAATCCCCAGTTCTTTTTATTTCCCGACCAAGAAAAAGTTCTGCTGGGGAGAAGCCTGTGACGCGATTCACTCGCTGTCTGATGGCAAGGAGAGACTCATGCAAGTGTTGATCCCATTTGGTATGTTCTTTGTCAAACAAATGAATCCTAAACAGCTTCTTAAGCTCCTGATTTCTCCGTTCAGTAGGATTTGCCTGAGGGTGGTAGATTGGCGTTGTCCAGTGTTCAATAGCCCATTCATTTAGATTCCGTAACCATTGTTTTGACGTGAACGGACTGCCATTATCTGTGAGAAGACATCGTGGATAACCATAACGACTAAAGACCTCTGTTCGTAGGATCTGTAGAATTCTTCCCGACGTAGCTTCAGGAACGGCAAATGCTTCGAATGCAAATGCCACCTGGTAAAAAGGTCTGTCACCACCAAAATTCCAGTCTTCCCTCGAGATGTTCTGGGATATGGTCCCATAAGATCTAGAGCAACAACCTCCCACGGCTGGTGTGGCCGACGTCCTCTCATGCTTGTACTAGCTTTTTGGTTGTTAGCCTTGGTACAGGCACAGATAGTGCAGGATTGGACGTAGTTCTTGATGTCCCGATGCATATTTACCCAGAAGAAACGACGCCGAATCGAAGTGTAGGTCTCGTCTTGTCCTGGATGGCCAGCTTCAGGGCTGTCGTGGTACTTCTCTAGAATCCTTATAGCCTGAGACTTCGGAACTACAATCACAGGAGAAGATTCTGATAGATGAGATTTGTATATAAGTAAACTGTCTTCCAAGCGAAGGTTCTTATAGCATGTCTTGAACTGGAATGGGACAGCTTCAGAATTAGTGTAACGTTTGGTTATCCAGGATTTCATTCTACTACAAGCTGCATCTTCATTCTGCCATTTCTTTACCAGTTCCAAGTCAATGTCACAATTTTCCCGTTGTGCCACCATAAGAACAGGCTCAATATGTCTTAACTTCATTGGGACTGGAACTTCCCTCTCCATGAATTCTTTGGATATCTCACCACTGTCTACCAGGTTTCTTGACAAGCTATCAGCGGCTTGATTTAACTCTCCTGGGACGTGATTTATTTCAAAGTCAAAATCAGCCAACATTAAAGACCATCGCATCAGTTTTGACTTGGTCCCAGATACTTTGTTTAACCACTGTAGCGATGAATTATCAGTGAATAATTTAAATTTTCTTCCCTCGAGATACCCCCTGAATTTTCCTACTGCCCACACTACCGCTAGAGCCTCCTTTTCAGCTGTACAATAGTTTTTCTCAGAAAGGGAAAGTTTCCTGCTTGCATATTCAATGATATCCTTGCCTCCTTCTATCCGCTCTTGAAAGAGAACAGCCCCAAGACCTACATTACTGGCATCTGTCTGTAAGCATATTTCCCGACTGGGGTCCAAATAAGCTAATCCCGGAGAGTCACAGATGGATCTCTTTATCTCCCTGAAGGCTTTCTCTTCCGTCTCGGTCCATTTAAAAGGTTTATTTTGATGAAGAAGGTCAGTTAGAGGTGAAACCTTGGATTCAAAATGAGGTACAAAACAACTGTACCAACCGCAAAGGCCCAAAAACTGTCGAACTTTACGCTTCGTACCAGGTCTTTCGTACTCTTCAATAGCCTTGTTTTTCTCAGTTTGCCTCTCTAATCCTTTGTCTGTTAACACATGACCCAAATATTCTACTGAGTTGGACGTAAAGTGACATTTCTTCACCTGACAGGTAAGTCCATGAATTTTCAATCTTTCTAATACTCTTGCCAAATGTTCCAAATGATCAAAAAATGTTTTGCTGTAAACTAGTATATCGTCCAAATAAACTTGACAAAATTCACCAACATAACCTGACAAAACCTTGTCCATCAGACGCATGAATGTTGCTGGGGCATTTTTCAATCCAAAGGGCATAACACGGAATTGATATAGTCCCCTTGGTGTTGAAAAAGCTGTCATAGGCCGAGATGATTCTTCTACTTCTACTTGCCAATAGCCAGAATTCAAATCTAAAGTGCTAAATACTTTGGCCCCACTAACTTGCTTAATCAGATGTCGTAGATCAGGCATTGGGTAAGCATCAGCAATAGTTTTATTGTTGACTTGACGTAAATCCACACAAAGTCTGTAGTCTCCGTTCTTCTTTTTGGGTAATACTATTGGTGAAGCCCATCCTGATGATGACGGTTCAATTAGTCCTTGATTTTCCATTTCCTTTACTTTTTCTATGACAAACTTCCGTTTGTCCGGGTTAAGAGGGTAAGGTTTCTGTTTGACAGGTGTGTTATCTTTACAAGAGATCATATGTTTTACCATAGTAGTGAACTCAATTCTGTCTGTAATTACCTCTGGAAAGATACTGAGTAAATTAATCAAGTCTGTTCTTTGATTAAGATCCAAAATTCCCGTTTTCAGTTCATCCAAAACGTTGTTTTCTAATTCTGTTCCCAAATCAAAGTGTTTGTCCTCTAACCATCCCAATCTAACTCTATTTTTAATGCCAACAAATATTTCATTTGCTGTGTAATCTATCAACACACCGTATTTAACAAGGAAATCATGCCCTAGTATGATTTCCGGGATTAAATCCTTAATCACTTTTACCGGAATGTGAATAGATTCTTGAGAACATTTGGCTTCAAGAAAAGTAAATCCTTCGATTTTGTAATTTATATCTTGTACTGCACCTTTGACAGCAGTTACACCGTCTGGACAAACAGGTTTTAACAATTTAGCCACCGTCATGCCAATAAACGAATGTGATGCCTGAGTATCAAGGGCTGCAGTATAATATTTGTCACCAATCTGTATACAAATTGCCGGACGGGGATTACCCACACTCTCACTAGAAATTTGACCAATATAAGTTTTTTCTGACTGGTAGTTTTGGGACTTAGAAACTCTTCTAGAACCATTCTCGCCCCTATTAGAACGGTTCTGGTCTAGTTTTCCGGACAACGGGCCTTCGCATGCCCAGTTTGCCTACATTGATAACATTTAAAGGAGTTATCAGGGTTCGAAGTTCTGGTTTTTGAGGGATAAAAGCTTACCTCTTCGTCTAGCTTTGCTACTATACTCCTGAGTTCGTCAAATGATTTTGGTTGAGCTACCTTAACTAGAGACCTAATCTTATCATGTAAAAGTTCCATAATATAAGTAACACTCTCGTCAATACTCCCACCATCATTCATTCTCTTAAACAACTGTAACTTTTGAATAACAAATGCCCCAGCTCTCATGCCACTAGGTTGAACATCCGTCAAGAATTTCTTAGTGATTAATGCTTTGACAGCCTCTGAATTAAATCTCTGCATAAACTCATGTTTGAATGTGTCCCATTCTAGACTTAGACCCTTAATGTTTTGCCACCAAGTACCTGCCGAACCTCTCAACTGTTTGCTCACAATCTGCAGATATATTTCTGACGGTATACACGTCCGTTTTAACAAAGACTCGCTAGTACTGTAGCTAAAAACGCTGTGGGACATTCCTCTAACCTGCCGTGAAATTCCGGTAAGCTGTCTTTTATAATTTTGGGATCCACAGCAGGCATGAATGATGGTTGGTACTCTGGATTATTCCAAGTAATTGTCTTTTCCTGTGAGGATATCTGTGTTCCGATAGCTTGAATTTTATTGTGAAATTTAGTTTCCATGTAATCAATTTTAGTTTCCAATTCATTTAATTTATCAGAGTTACCATCGAAATTTGTTTCTAATTTTGTAATTTTATCAATGGTCACGACAACATCTGACTCCAATGATTCAATTCTTTTGTCTAATTTTGAATAGTTGTGAGAAATTTGTTCCATAAATGATGACATTTTACTATTAATATCTGCCGACTGTGTGTCAAGTTTCTCAGTAATATCTGCCGACTGTGTGTCAAGTTTCTCAGATTGGATATCTAGTTTCTCTGAAATTTTGGACAGTAGAGTACTCACCGGGTCAGGTTGTGATATTTGTTCTACCAACTGGGTATTTCGTCCTACCCGTGGTCGAAGCTCGTAGGCTTTGCTTCCTGTCTCCTTCTCCTCACTTTCTTCCAGGCCTTTCTCCAGCATTTCAGTTGTCAAATCTTCAACTCCTAATTTTGTCATTTCTTAATTAAAAGTCATGTCACGGTCGCCAATTGATATCGTCAATATACGTGATTCAATTGATTTGATATCACGGACGATTAAACATTAAAAAAAATGACAAAATAAGTGTTAACAAAAACCATCTTCTTTATTCCATTAAAACAACAACTAAAACTCTTATTTGTTTTTAACCAAAAACAATTTAAAAACATCTGACTATATAATATTTTATCTATATAAGAAAACAGTCTTTTGGCAAAGAAATAAGAATATTATATTGAGGTGTTTTCTTTGTAAATGATTTATCATCGTACGTCAAGAAGAGCGGATACATAACCGGATACAATGTAAGCTACTAACAAGTGACTACACCAAAAAGCAAAAGTAACTTGTTGTTTTCCCAAAAAGCTTTCTGGACACCTTCAGGGAGAACAACAAATGCTTAAACCTTTCACCAGATCAAGACAAAAAAATCATTTTCGGACAGAGGAATTTAATTTCCCTATTTAAGTGTAGGGAACCAATTAACTTTGCCCCATTCAGATTTGGTGCTAAAAAAGCATTTTTTCCAGAAGGAAGAATCCGCTGAGAAGACAGAAGAGAAGAAGGAGGAGAAAAAAGAAGAAACAAGCACACAAGAAGTCGCTGCTCCTGCCCCAGTTCCAACCCCTGCTCCTGAACCTGTCACAACCCCTGCCCCAGCATCTCCTACCCCTGCCCCAGCTTCTCCTACCCCTGCACCTGAACCAGAGGTAGAAGCCACCCCCGCACCACCAACAGTAGAATCCGCACCTGCCCCTGTCGAAGAGGTTTGTGTTTCTTGTAAACAGCTTTGATTTGTATCGATAGGGTCAGGGCTCAATTGGAGGAGAACACAGAAATGGTTTTTCAGGACCTCCTTCTCTAAGGACAAGTTTTTTTATTTTTAAGTACATATTTTAAAAAGTCTGTAAATTTCGTTCTTGCATTTTCACTATTTCTCAATTGTGTATGTCTGGAGTTATAAGAAGAATGGTACAGGATAAACAATTGGTCAACGATTTTGGATGATTTAGGATCTAGCAGCTCAAATACTGGCAAAATGCTTTGGACGTGGGTGAACAAGGAAGGCTTTACCCCAATCTCCAGCAGACATTTCATATGCACACTATTTATTTTTTTGTGTGTGATTTAGTAAGAGGTTACAATTTAAATTCAAATAGTTGTCATTTACTTACTTGGTCTTGGTACATTTTGAATTGGATGCATTTTGTTCAGAACTAAAATGAAACATACAGTAGTCTCACATACTTAAGCTCTTAAGATGAGTTTTCCATCACTTTCTTGACCAGTTTGTTGTTGAAGGTATTTAGTAAATGGATACTTTTTTAATCTCATCTTTCTGCTACAGTTTAATTTGGCCTTGTTTCCGTAAACCCTTTAACTGTGCAAAACGTTCCCTTCTTTTAAAAAAGGTTTTCACATGAAATGAAATGAAAACCATTTAATTTATTTTTTCAGTCAAAGTTAAGGCCACATGGCCCTTTCTTACACTTAACCTGACATTAAAAAAATATAAGAAAAATAATGTTACATTGGGATAACTTAATTTAATTAAAAATAAAAATATTTAACAATTCAAATACCTACATTTCTCAGAAAAAAAGAAGAAAAAACTTACAAACATTCACATGCATCAATCAAGTAATGCTTCATGAAAACAAATGTTATTAAACAACCACACCCAATTAAATAAAGCTTAAAATCTTAAACTCTAGCTGAACCAATATTGTATTAACTCTTTGCATAAGCATATACTTGATCCAATCTTTGGGCTGTTTTTAAGCAAGAGATTTGTTGTGACAGGTTGAGGAGGTGCCAGCACCAGTCCCAGTCTCAGAGCCCGAGGTAGAGGTGCAGACTGAGGTAAAGACAGAGGAGTTGCCTCCACCTCTGCCAGCCAGTCCTCCACCTACAGAGGCTCCACCACCTACCCCCGTCACCACAACCCCTGCACCTGCACCTGCCCCGCCTGCAGACGACACTGAGACGGAGACTGACAATGAGGTATGTGGTACGCCAACATATCCATCCTGTCAAACCTGTATTGTACTGATACAATATTTGATATCTGAATCCTTACCAGACGGGTGGGTCTTAAGGCCTAGGGAAAAAATGGTACAGATATATCCACTAATTGTTTTTGAAAAAAAAGAAAATTCAGATATGTCCGCAACTTGTCTGGAAAAATATAACAATAATTTTTAATCAAGAATGAAAAGTGTTTAGAAGCATTTACTGGACGAGATTTTATTTATGTTCAATTTGAGCAATCTTATTTTCACATGAAAAAAATTCTGTGTTCAGTGTGGAAAAGGTTTTATGCAACATACAACGTAACAATGATTCTGTAGAGAACGTGAATACATTGCCATAGTGCCGTAAACTAGCTGGTTACTGTACAAACTCTAGTCATTCTACAGAATTGGCTAACATATCTGCTTCCTGTCCTACAAGCTAAGCGAATATATCCATCACCCGTCTGGGAATGTTTATACAACAAAGTACTTCACTTACACACTAATGTAGAGTAAACCGTAATCAATTGTATTGGACATTACCGAAGTAGGCCATAGCTTTACCAAAATGATTTCAGACAAGGTATTGCTTGGTAGTAACTTATTGTGGTTGTTGCAGATCGGAGGTGGAGGTGAGAGTATGGCAGAGCCCGAAGAGATCGACGTTCCGGCAGTCACTGAAATTGTCACTGAGAAGGTGGAGAAGCTGGTCAACGGCATCAGCGACCACAGCCACGAGGTAGGCTTAGGCCATTCCATCTATATAGACTAGCTATAGCCAATTTTTATTCAAATTGAAAATAGTAAATAACTGTATTTTCTTCCTAATATTTTTAGCTGATATGGTTGGTTTGAACTAAAAATTGGTTTTCAAAAGGTTGTCCTTTCAGTTTAGATTGGTTAGTTGGTGTTCAATAGAAATTAGTAACCGTGGTGACGCAATTTAACTATCTTAACCCTTGCGCGCGCTCGTTTCTTTTGCGCTGGAGCGCGCGAGGGGTTAGCTCATGTAGGAACTCTATGGGTGATGGTTAGGGTAGTACTCTATTGAAAACTACCTCATTAAACTCAAACTCTTTATTTGCTATAAAAACATTACAAATTTGAGCTTAGCTCATGTAACAGATGGCATGTCCTTTATATAAATGTTAAATTGCAACAGGTAAAAAAAATATATAACTCTAGATTAGTTCCAAAAGATGTACCGTTCTTAAAACTTTATTAAGTAGATTGTAACATTGTTAGGCGTTTGGTGGTCAATTTAAGATTTGATCTATGAACTTTATTCTTTATTTCTTCTTAGGTTCTATGCAGGAATCAAAATGCCAGGCATTGTGTACATTTATTATTACCTTTAAGAATAATTATGTATTTTCTACTGCCTATTCTGATTTTAAAAGCATGTTTAAAGTTGTATAGTCATATACCATACAGTAAAGCAAAAGTGTGTGTTTTTCCAGGCGATCTCAATTGCTTGTTATAAATACTAAATAATTTATTGTTTTGTTTCCAGTTTGTTGAGGAGATCTCTGAAAAGGTTGATATTGTAACGGATAGCTTCAAGAGCATCGTTACGGACACTATTATCTCAACCCAGGTGATTATTATTGTCAAACACAATCTCGGGAGTACAAATAACTTTTCCTACAGTTCTCAGACAAAGCTGGCTTTCTGGTACAGATTATAGAACACAAATTAGCTAATTGCTGCATTTACTTACTTTTACCGCACTCTAGTATTCCAACCAAACAACACAAAACAGTGTGTTTTTTAGACACGTAATAATATTATGTGTACACCTTAAAATAGGTTGGCAACACTTAAAGACACTAAGTCTACAATCAGCTGATGTAGCGTTTCCCGTTTTGTTTTATTTGCCCATTTAACCCTAACCTAAAACGTGTAGTTTAGTGTTTGAATGACTAATAATTTTACGCTTTATAGTAACTGTAGGAAAAATATAATGTGTAACGCAAGTGCAAAGTACCATTGCACACTAGTTACTCAGATAAGTATTTTATTAAAGGGGACGTCATTTGGATGATCCAAGTTTTTTAAAGAATTAGAGTAGGCCTACAGTAGAGTCCCGCAAATTTGGCGTGATGTGGTCTGGAAGGATGCCGAGTTTTTGAAATGCTGGTTTATCGGGAACTAGGGTTAAAAATAAAAACAATACAGTTTTTAAGCTTTGTAACCGCATTTTTGTATTAATATTTATATTAAAAGTCTGCATTAAGTCAACAGATGTAGTACAACAAATCCTTAGTACCCTACCAGTAGCGAATAATTTAACTTAAGCTGGCTTGAGTCCATGTTTAACTCGGACTCAAAAAATCACTAATTTTCTGAGCCAGGTTCTGAGGTGAGGGTCTGGTGAGCTATCCAGACTGCCGGCGGTGCCGAGTTCGCAGGACTCTACTGTATAGGATAAATTTTTAGAATAATATTAAGGCATTTATTATTTATTTCAATTCTAAGTTAGAATTTATAAAAAAAAGGTTATACCTCCATCAATCTAATAAAATGCTTGTGACATAACTCCGATTTACTCAGAGTATTTTAAAATTTGTTATGTGTTTATAATTGTGATGTAATTCTAAGTTAGAATTTATAAAAAAAAGGTTATACCTCCATCAATCTAATAAAATGCTTGTGACATAACTCCGATTTACTCAGACTATTTTAAAATTTGTTATGTGTTTATAATTGTGATGTAATTCTAAGTTAGAATTTATAAAAAAAAGGTTATACCTCCATCAATCTAATAAAATGCTTGTGACATAACTCCGATTTACTCAGAGTATTTTAAAATTTGTTATGTGTTTATAATTGTGATGTATGTTTAGGTGGTGAACGAGACGTCTGATGACAAAGAACAAACGGCATCGGCCGCGGAGTAAGCTCTTGTGATGACTTTCGCAGTGATTCAAGCATTTCATTACAACAAAAAAGACTGTTTGTTTTATATTAATATTATTTCGGAGTTTGTGCCTTGGGAAAAATATCACTGCCCAAGATCTGCAAATATCAGGCCTAGACCAACACTGCGGCCGCACAACCGATGGAGTGGAGCTCCAAACAAAACCTCACCGAACCGGTATAGATTAGGTTACATAGTTTAGACGGTTTTATTATTATATTATTATTACGATAGTCTTGTATGAAAGAAACAAATGTCCGGTGGAGTTTTGTTTGTCAGAGGTTATATACAATTTTGTAAAATAATTTTAAATAAATTTATTGTAACGCTTTTTTGTATTATTAGAGCAGTCGTGTAGCTTGGAGCATCACAGGCGGAGGGGGAAATATTTTCATATAAACTGTTTTTACTTGTAGTCGTAGGGAGTCGGAGAGGCAACGGCAACGGCAGCTTGGCTTGGTAACTGTTCCGTTCATTTTGCAACGAACTGTTTTCGATGTTCCATTACAATGTTTTTGAGAGATGTTTTTAATGAGTCGATAAGACATCGTTGTAGCACACTGTATGTATAAACCGACCTTTATCTTAAATTTATATAAAACCCCCTCAATCTTTATAATGTCATGTGTGAATGTGTTTATAAATTAAATATAGAATGTTCAAATTTTAATGTGTGTGTATATTGATTCCTTTCATTTTCCCAAAATAGACAATATATTTTAGGATAAAATATGTTTAATGTTCTTGTACAATTTTTAATGGAGTTAAACTAGTTTTACTATTCTACAAAAACTTACAAACTGAAAAAGGTTTCAATGATTTTTTTTTAAATTTATTTTAAAATTTGGGAAGAATAACTCTCCAGAAATCTTTATCAGAAGAAACTCATTACCTATTTGGAAAGATTTTTTTCCTACAGTTACCTAACAATGTACATGTTCTGGGAATGTTGCTGGAAGTCAACAGTCCCGGAAGATCAAATAATTTATACCTGTGCCGCTAGGTCAAAAACTACAATGTTTGCAGTGTCTGTAGATCAAAAGTCCCAGTAAGTCAAATAATACAGTCCGAGCTAAAAACGTGGTCTATGTTAAAGCAATTGACTTATTGGGAATTTGACCTAATGCAACAGCAGTTTTAATATAACAAAATACGGTAAAATACAAGTTCAGTTTCGCTGAGTCAACAGTGCCGGAAGATCAAAAGCAATAAAAGTTAACGTCGATTCAGTGTAAAGTAGACCTCCTGCAACGCTTACTACACCAACAAAACTCGCTTTTAGTTACTTCGTGTTTTGTCATAATTAGAATAGAGCTAAAATTATCATATTTGGTACATAGCTTATCTATTAATGCTTCTTGCCAACTGTTTGGTCAACACTGTAAATAGGTATAGCCTTTTGTCAAAATGTGTGGCATAAAATACCCGCAAGGATGATCTGAAAATTTCTGGTTATTATATACGTTTGTAAAAGGAGATCCATTTAATTGTAGAACTATTTCATGAGTTATAATGTAGTCTACATATAAACTGTGTAAATGTATTACGCCTCGGAAGGGTTGAAACCTGTCCAAACTATCATATATATTATTAAAACGTAAATGGGGTTTTTTCACGATTCTGAAACAACCAGACGATGGATTTTCATTAGTTTTGTTTTGAAAGAAAGACAATTTTGAGAACTAGGGAATTTCAAAGCCATAATTTAAAATTAGTGTCCCAGTTTTTTATAAATTAAGTTTTAGTTTTTAAAAAGTCTAGCAGCCGATGCTAACTTTCTCCAATAAGTCAATGTTTTCTAACTAGCTTTTAGTACAATATAATTTGCTTAACATAACAGCTGTAACATTCAGCATTTGTGACACAAATTCAGCATTTGGAAGAAAATGCAAATACATACTTATGGTTGGCTTATTTATACTATGTGTAATGCTGACTATTGATACATTTAATTATTCGGTACGAGGATGGCAGATTAATTAAATATGCATAGTAAAATACAGTAGTAGGATGTTCAAATTATTTTTTTTAAGTATTTTTTGTAATCATCGATTTGTTTTAGTCCAATATAATTTGTTTTAACTAACAGCTGGTTGAATGTGCTATGTATACTTATAAAAGGCAAAGCCCTCACTGACACACTCACTCTCACTCATCATCACTAATTCTTCCACTTCCCATTTACCTAGGAGGCTGAAATTCGATACACCGATTCTTTGGACATTAAATAGGAAAACTGAGTAATTTTTATTATGATAGGGCATTCGAGCTTCGCCCCAGTGGCTCTGGAGTTTCCCATGTTAACCTTATGATTTTTCATATTTAAAAGGAATTAATGAATCTTGACAGCTGTGTCAATTAAACAATTTATGACAACAGCTAATTTGCAACCAAAAGCTGAGTGAGCGTTTCGAACGAACTTCAACCTGGAGGCGAGTTAACCCCAAGGCAAGTGAGCTCAGCGAACGAGCTCCAACCTAAAGGTGAGTGAGCGTAGCGAACGAACTTCAACCAGGACGTGATTGAACCATGCGAACGAGCTCATCTTGAAAATTAATTAGTTAAACGGGGCAAAGCCAGCGGGTACAGCTAGTTATTCTATAGAATTATTAGGTTTTTTTTAGCGAATTTCGCATATAGGGAATAAGCTATTACCGTAGTACTCATGGCAACACCTGGACCCGGGACCGATGTATTTTTTCGTTTTGAGTCCCTAGAGGCCAAAAACACCATCCGTTCAAATTCATATATATGTAAGTGTATAAGACATTTTGGGGACTTGACTTTTTCGGGTCTCAAGAATTTATACGAAAATACACTATTGCAATATTTTGAGGACTTGAATTTCCGTATGTGTATAAGACATTCTGGGCACTTGACTTTTTCGGGACTCAAGAATTTAGTACTTTTCGAGGACCTGTGCAAATTATTCCATTCCAAATGCAGCGCGTTATCGATCTTCACCCTTGTGTGGGCCTCCCATTCACTGACGGAATGTCTCGTGGCGTATGACGACCGGATATAAATAGTCACTTTACACTCACTTATCTCGTTATTTTTTTCAGCATATTCGTTGACCCGTCTGCAGGTCTTATGTTGACGGGCTGTCAGAGCGTCTGTTGTAATAACTGGAATTCCTTATGTATGTTTGCTGCTGATTACGGTGAAGTATTGTTATAAATTCCACCTAATCTTTAAAGTTACCCATTAATTTCATAGAAATAATAATATTTAACTGTTTGACGAGTACCCCTATTGTATTCAAAATACTAAACGGCCCAACCCAATATTTAATACAAGCCAAAGGTGTCTTATAGATTCCGAGTAAATTATTATAAACTATCAAATGGAGCATGTAAAGTGCATTATAAATAATCAACAAACCCTAACATAATTGACTATTGATTCAGTTACTGATTCGGGAATTACAATTGCTGATGATAACTGAATGCTCTGACCTGAAGCAGTGTTCTTCTTTACTTCTTTACCTATAAAACACATGGGATACAGCCTTTCTTCACTGATCACGTAATGCGTGATTTTCTATAAAGTCTTGGAAAAATAGATAGAATACAGGTGTACTGTATGTGGTTTACACACAAATATTCATCAAACTGTGTGATAGTTTGTTATAGCAATGAACATTTGAGAGTATCGTATTGTTTAAGTCGATGGAAAATCTCTGTTGATCCTGTTTTACAAGCAAACCAAAAAGATACAGTAGTCACCACTCTATGCGACATATTCTAACCAGAAAATTGTAATCGTATGATTCTATAAGCATTGGTAGGATTGCAAAGTACTACACAAACATTATTTCAAGGGTAATAACAGTCACAATTTCCGCTGACTTTAAAAGAGTCAACTAAACTATTATACACACAACTAAATGGAACAACTAATGGAAATTCTCATGATGTACATTCGTTCGATATAAGCATTGAGTATACACGTCAGTACATACGTGTATACCCAATGATATAAGCAACGGTTCTTGCAATTTATTGCTTATTGTTTTTTAGAGCTGTTTTCGGACTTACTCTGTTTTCGGACTTACTCACACTCGTATAAGGTTTTCCACGTTTGTCATTGATAATGTAGCCATGTTGCTTTGAAATGGCGACCATACAAATGTATGCATTTTAAGCCAAGTATGAATGGAGATGAGTGTGGGATGAGTGGAGCGATCTTGTTGTCCTGTTTGTGACTAAGGCCGACATAATCCTTAGACACAGCTGTTAATTAATAGTGCATACAGTCAATTAATAGAAGCAGAGGTCAAGTTTGGTATCAAATTAAAGGTTTTATTCATAAAAATACATTGCCGCAAACCCAAACTCAAACGATGATGATGATAATAACGTTAATGATGTCGCTAAAACGTATCGTTTGAAATTTAACAGCTGAAAATAAGTGAAATAGAAAAGGTTTTGGTTAAATCCATCAAATTGTAATTGGACACTAGTAAATACTAGTGCACTTGTTGCTACATCCCCCCTTCGGTTTCATGTATTCCTCTCAATCAGTTCAAACCTAGGAGGATTAAACATTAATGTTACCTAATTAATGTTAAATCCTCGTAGATTCAAACCTGAAACACCCAGATCGAAACTCGCCTGTCGTTATTTTACCATCGCCTTTTTTTCAAATATATTTTTCAAAAAAGAAAGATTATATTGATTTACTTTGGATTTTAAAAATGTTAACGTTTTATTTTGTTAAAGATTTATGGTGATACATAAATATTGTGATGTAGTAAAGTATATTATATTGTAGTTAAGTGTTAAATTTTGAAATTTTAGGGTGAATCGAGATGAATCTTTTTTTATAACATGGGTCTCTCCTACCTTAACATACATACCAAGTTTCATAAACATCGGTTGGAAAAGTGCAAAGATAAATATTTGTATGTAAAAAATACAAAATGGTGGATATCTGGTTAACGAAACGATTTAGGAAAAAATGTTATCCTTGATTTTCTGTTTATTTTGACCCAAGGAATTACTAGGTAAAGTATCTCCCCGCTTATTTTTAACACCCTGTTTATGATGTATTCTTATAAGTGAAAAATGTAAGCTGGTAATACAGAAAGATGTTTTATAAATAATATGAATGTACTGGTGATCTGTATATTCATCTTTTTCTTGTTCTTAGAACTGTAAATTAAAAGTCCACTCAGCAGTCGCATCGTACGATGTAGTTCTTTCCATGCGTTGCGAAATGCTAAATTTGCCGTCCTCTTCAACCCAAGTTATCTATTGAACCACTGATTGTAAAAAAATCAAAAAAATATATTTTACGCATCACACTTTTGGCTACAACTTTGCCACAGACGAAACCTCTCTAACCCAAAAACAAAAAAAAATCTCGCATGCTAACTTTTTCATGTTAGAAATCACGATTTAAAACTATTTCACCATACATATCAATTTTTATTAATTTGATCGGTAATAAGTTTAAAGTTCCAACAAAATAGTCATCGAGTAGGACTAACCAAGAAGCTCTGTGCCAATTTTCAAAATTTTAGCACAACTTTAAGTACACCAAAACACGAAATTATTGAAGTCATGCGTCGAGAGGACTATCGTTGTTTTTAACAGATTATACTTTTGACCTTCCGGCACTGTTCACTCAGCGAAACTAAACGTGGTCTATGTTAAAGCAATTGACTTACTGGGATTTTTGATCTACAGACACTGCAAACATTGTAGTTTTTGACCTAGCGGCACAGGTATAAATTATTTGATCTTCCGGGACTGTTGACTTTCTGCAACGCGTCCCATGTTCTCTCACTTATTTGAGAAAGCAAAGTGGCCAATTCGCTCATCAGTGATACAATGTTAACATTGTCTCACTCTAATTACTTTGTCTCACTCCAGATTTGCAGCGTGAAGGCACGAAATAGTGAGCGTGTAACATGCAGGTAACGTATGCGCACAAAATATGTTGGCAGCACTGGCTGTAAATCAGCTGGTCAGCTGTTGTACTGTTGTATTTGTCACTTCACATTAAATTTTATATTAAAAGTTCACTTCTGTGTAAAAATAGGTTATGTTTCTTCACCAATTTATTTGTTTTATGGTAACTGTAGGAAAAGTATAATGTGCAACTCGAGTTCAAAGTACAATTGCCTCACTCGAGAAACCATTCCTCACTCACCTACGGCTCGTGAGTAAGGATTTCTCTCGAGTGAGTCAATTGCTCACTTTTCTCACTAGTTGCACAAATAACTATTATGTGTGGGTGAAAAAGAAATTAATTGAATCAATCTGCTAACAATAACTTTTTGTGTCCGATGTGATTTGTTTGTGTCTAAGTATTTGTTGTCTGGGTATATGAAATAATTTAACATTATTGCAAAATCCCCACATTGTTTGTCTAGTTCTCGTAAAATACAAACTTGATGCAGGAGGGAAAAAATAAAAACAAATTGTAAATCTATTTACATATAATCACAGCAATGATCAGTAAAAAAATGATTGATATAAAACAGTCTTAACAAAATTACACATAAGTACAAAAATAGGACTAAGGTGTTGAGTGTTCTTCAGAGGCAATGAGGTTGCATATCTTCCGCAAGATGGAAACAGACATGGAATGGCCGATTTTTAGCTGCAGCCTCAGTGGATTTAATGGCCTGTCTGCAACACATTGATAAATGAAAATAATATCATTTTAATAAAGATGAACGTAATTTACATCATACTACACAGAAACAGGTACTTTCCCATCCATATTGATAGGGTGGAAAGTTACTATTATCCGTGCCTAAACACGAAAAAGTGAGGTTATGTACTTTTACCGTGCACTTAGTCAGCTGATGAAATAAACGGCTAACTGCAACGGCCTATTTTATTTTCTGTAATAAAAAAATATTATAATTTATGTTGTCCTAAATAAGTTTAAAATGTACTAATTACTCTGTGAATTATGATGTAAAGTAACGTACATTACTCGCTCGGTAAGCTTTAACGTACTCACACAAAAATCGCATGGTAAAACACCACTTACCACGCTAGTAACTTAATAAACAATTATAGCAATTATTAACATAGTTATACATTTGCAATATTTTTAAAATGTTGTAAATTAGTAGAGTTATTCATCTAATAACTGTCTGAAACAAACATACGTTTTGTATATGATGATGTTTAATTTGTATGTACAAAGTAATCTTAGAAAAGTTAAAAAAGGTAGGCTATTGAATTATTTGTTTTGCCTCGAAAACAAAAGTTACTAACCCATGAATGTGCAATTTGCCCACAGGAGGCCCCTTATATTTTTTATACTTGTTTGTAATTGGCCAAGATATTGTTATATAATAAGCCTTCTTAAACAAAATAATGTTGGTATGATCTCGAGCAAGATCAATTCTGGACCCAAATGATATTTCAACAAATGATGTTAAAACAAAGTTGACATGGAAAACAAGACCAATTTCAACTGACTGTTTACCAAAAACGTAAAAAATACTACTGCAAAAAAAAGTTAGGAAAAACTTACATAAAACTGTTTTAATTAAAGGTTTTTTATCCACCAATAATATATATATTAAAAACTAAAAAGATACTACTTTGAACTACAACTCCAATAGTCAGAAATCAGAAACATTTATTGCCGAAAACATTACAAAAATGTATAGGCCATCGTCAGGTACAATTTATAGTACTTAGAAGGTATTTGTATTGGTGTGCATAATGCCTAGGCTATACAACATGGTGTAGCCTAGATTGAAAAAACTGATCAGTAAATTTACATACTCCACTGACTAAACTGGTCCTTTTTTGTAAACCACTTTTTTAGTCATGAAAGAGTACCAAAAGCATCTGCTTACTGAGTAGAGTAGCAAAACTATTTAAATGGTTTTATTCTCTAAGGCTTCTTCAATATTTATTGATTTCTGAAATCTTTATTATATGGATTTAAAAAGCATGGTCTACCTGAAATGGCTTCACTAAGCTCTTTAGGGGAAGCAAAGTCATGAAACGTTAGGTATGTGGCAAATCTCTGCATCAAGCTGGCATTGCTGAAGTCAGTAGAGTCACCGTGGATGTAGTGCCATAGAGGTTTCATCAGCTCTGAAACATAAAAAAATGTGATTACTGATTATTCATTTAATGTATATTAGAAAATTGAAACACAACTACAAAACCCTTTAGGGTGCAACAACCAACAACCATAGAATGTGGGTCATAAAAATACTCGAGTCTGTCCACAGTATTCACTTCAAAGGAAGAAAACAATCTAATTTTGCTTCTTAAACATTACAATATGTCCAATCTAATGTTACCATTATCTTCAGCAAAGTTCCCTATAGGAAGTAGCAATTTACAATTCATGTAAGACCTAAGCCTGGAACCGATTTACTTTTTTATTTTGATGTCCCCAGATGCCAAAAACGCCATTCGTTAAAATTTTTATATATACAAATCAAATTTATATATGCGTGAGTGAACCAGTGAACACAATAATTTTGGTAATTTTTGTCCAATTTTGATGATATTTCGTTTAAAGGTGTTAGGCGGCCAACCTTGAATGACTTCGCGAACCAGCATGATCAGAATTTATGGGGTAAAAATTATTTTTCTCATTTTTGACCCTCAAAACACAAAATTTCCCAATTTCTCTATAGACATTTTTAGGAGTGTAAAAAAACAAATAATTCAATATATCAAAGTGTTTTCGTATTTTTTTTTTTTTTTTTTTTTTGATAATGGTGAAAATTTGAAAACTTGTAAATTCCCATGTTATTTTTATGGAGAATATTTTAAAATGTTGTAGTTTACTTGTTTTTTTTATGAATATATTTTGATCAAACTTGGTAAATTTATTTTTTTATACTAAGCTATTAATTTTACTATAAACACACTTAATTAGTTTTGCTGCAAACCTAGGTACTCGTTAAACCTAATGTTATTTCAATGGATCTAATTGAAAATCAATTCAGGCAATCCATTATCAATTATCAATCATTGAGATGGGGACGCCACCTAGTTGTGTATTTTAACCCAAATATGAGTGAAAGATGGAGTAGAATGGTGTGTGATGACCTGTGTAGCTTTGTTACTGACTAAGATCAGCGGTTTCATTAGTCAGGACCATTTATTTAAAGCCCAATCAGATGGAAATTCGCTTAGTCGGCAGGTTGGCTGCGGCGGGGATATTTAATTTTTAATCCCATATGGACTACAATTTACATAGAAAACTTTAACTGATGATAGTATGATATTAAAAAAAACATTTTTATTAAAAAATTTGAATTCAAAAGTACTAGTGTACCTGTTGCTCGAATTTGAGCAATTGCGAACCATTACAGGCGTTATTTTAAAACGAATAACGGTCATAACTTCCGATAAAAGTCGACTCAAAGATAATGGAAATACTCAGGATGTACACAACAGTTATATATAATCAAAATTGTTTGTAAATACATAGTATCTTATCTTTTTTCTGATCTTGTTAGAAGCTGATCTTGTTTTTTAGAGTTCTCTACCAAAGTTTCCCACTCATAGCCGCATTTCACTATAATAACGATTATAAATGAAGAAAAAAAATTATTTCTATTTGTTCTACTTGGTTGTGTTGTATGTCTTTCTTATGTTTCCATAGTTAGCAATCGGCTCTTTCAATGATTGCTCAAGAAACTTAGCACAGTGTTAATTCAGTTTTATTTTTAGTAGGCCTATATCAAATTGTCCAGGATTTCTCGCTTTTTTCCATTGTAATAATTACACCAACATTGTATCGTCTACAGATGCAATATGCCAAAGAATATCATCTACGTGCAACACGCCTACGTACAATCTCCAAGAAGTGGTAAAAAAAGGCAGAAACCAACCCATACAATAGACATAAGTTAACTTCATAAGAAATCATTTTAAGAGTTACTGTGATATTAGTATTTTCCACTGATTTGGCAATAGAACATTATATTGCAAAACATGACACGATGCAGAAGAAAATCGATTTTAAATATAAAAAAAAACATTGCAAATACTTTATTTTGACAAATTCAGTAAATCACAATTTAAATATTAACAGCTGTTTCATTAAAAAGTAGTGTAAAATTATACATATGGCCTTAATAAACAAATCTGCTGAGGGGACTTTAAATGCCTCTGGGGCAGAGCCCCAAGGGAATTTGCCTCGTTTCTCTTTTGATGGCTCATCTACAGACCAAGACCTTTCTTTGACACCCCTACCAAGTTTCTACGTCCAGCCGTTCTCTCAAATTAGCTGGCACAAAGAAAAACAGTTTCAAATTAATATATAGATTATTCTAGATACAGTTTTAGCGGAAAATAGCACTTGGCTTGAGTACATTGAGGAAGAAGGATTGAGGAGTAAATTGATAACTAGCTAACCCATGAAGAGTTCCCAGCAATTGACAGCACACACAAAGTTAGCAATACAATTAATTGGATATTTCCCCTCTACAAAAATTCTTCAGAAGGATATTACAGTAGACCCCCTCTTAACAGACCCTAATGGGACCGGACCTAGGTCGGATGGCTCAAAAGGTCGGTTAAAACTGGCAATCCCTAAAATCATAATATAATGAAGTGCTATTCATGTGGAATTATATAATCATTATTTTGAAGCCATACTTGCATTATTTATAAAATAAACTACTCTTATCTCCTTTTTCGTATTGACAGAAAAGTCACAAATAAACACAAAACACGGTTAAGTCAAATAGGCCTAATTTCAGTGGAATATATTATAATACTAGGCATGAGTCAATAAAAATTAATCAATAAAAATATTTCAATACCGTAACTTTAGTACTGTAATGTATTAATTGATACAGTAAAGAACCTTTTGTTGAAATTAAAGATGCAAGCAACCATTTTGTTACAAGACAGGATGTTTATAACCTCTCAATGGAGGCTCCAGGCACAAAAACTATCTTGACCTTGGAGTTGTAAACCCCCTTTCCCTGCCCTCCCTACAAGTTGTGTTGTTTCTGTTTGTTTATTCCAGTGATAAGATAATCAGGTAACGCACACTTTATGATGTTATAAATTAGCCGTACAGATAACAAATCAGATCAGATGTGCTCTCACTATGAATGATGATGACAAACTGACAATAGGCTATGCTATAATTTTTGCGATCAATACAAAATAATTTATTCTTAGTCATATCCTGTGGAGATAAGCGTATGGTTCAGTTCTCATCGCCCAGCGTGGGAGCGGAAATGCCGAGATTCCTAGAAAGCGCCGGTTAAACCGAACTGCTCTCAAAGCAAGGTCGGTCTAAAAACAAGGTCGGTTAAAACAAACTGTATTATTTTACGATCGAAGGCGGATAATCCGATTATTGGTTAATACGAGGTCGGTTAAGAGGGGGTCTACTGTAATAACTCCATTACAGTACTACTATTTCTGTGAACTTTTGTGCTGCCATCTGCCTGGGACTCATTTCATGGACAAGTTAATTGTGCATCCATTCCTTCTTTCTCGATTTATTAAAGATATAAAACTTAGGTCTGTAGCAAAGACTCGGAAAGTTAAGTAATTGTATGGTTAATTTGTCATAAGATTTAATTTTACTAAAGAAAATCAGAGTGAGGAAAAACACTTACCAGGCTCCCATGATTCTAGAATGGTGAATACTTGTTCTTTCATAGACAGAGCCATATCTGCAGCTATAGATGGCATCAGACCGTCGTCGCAAGGTGAGCTACCGTGAGCTATCATGAGCTTGAGCTGCCACACTAGGATACCACATGGAGCATTGTAGAGACTCTGGATGGCCTACACAAACCATTGTCATATTCTCAAATACAAAGTTGGTATTCTTAGTGGGTACCTACTAAAATGTAGAAAAGTTTCCTATAAACCTTGTTCATAACAATATAATAACCAGACTAAATTATATTTATCGGCCGACACACAAGAGTGTGTATTTTGAAGGCAAATGACTTTTTAATTGGGCTTTAAATAAATGATCCTGACAAATGAAACAGCTGATCTTAGTCAGTAACAAAGCTACACAGGTCATCACACACCATTCTACACTCATCCTTCACTCATATTTGGGTTAAAATACGCACCTAGATGGCGTCCCCATCTCAATGATTGATAATAATAATAATAATGAAAAACTGGGAATAGTCTACATGAATACAGGTTAAAACAGAAAACTCAAGGGATGTGACATTTGGTGGAAGGAAAAGACCAGTATTTCATAGGCAACAAAAATGTAAAAGCTAATTCGACTATAACATTACAATTTCTTAAGGCTCGTCACACACTGTGTCCGGTCCGGTGAAATTGGATCAGGCATGCTGGATCAGGTAAATTCGGAAACCAATCGAAAACCATTAATTTAAATGGAAGTGCCCACACTGCATCAGGTCCGGTGCGTCAGATGCTCTCGGGTAAAATTATTTTGGTCGAGAAGCGATAGGCTTAAGGCAAGCTTCCTGCGCCGGAGAGCTCGCGCATGCGCAGACGACTTCTACTCACACTTGTGTTTATTAAACACTTCTTCAACTCACAGTACCGCTGTCTTCGCATAGACTGGTCGCCAGAACTGGAACGCCTGATGCAGTGTGTGGAAATTTGCCGGATCCGGCGAAAAACACCGCATCAGAATAAACCGGACCGGAGGCAGTGTGTGACCAGCCTTAAAATGCAGATTGTGCTGAGAAATACCTTGATGATGGTGATCCATATAGGTATGATGGGTAGCTTGTCATGAGTTACACACTCGTACACTATCTTGGTAAGGAAATGCATTACTCGCAGTTCACCTGCACCCGCCACAGAGCCTTCAGCTTGCTCCAGGAAGTAGTGAGCAAAGTTGACTGTGCTGGGGTCAGACGAGAAGGAAAATATTGAGTCTGCCTGTAGAAACAAGATCAGATTGTAAATTTTTCTTATTGAATAAGAGTATGTCATAGTTTCTAATATGAAATGCTTTATGAAATTATTAAGTCTTTAAAACTTTTTAACAAGCTCAGATAATTTCTTTGGTAGAAAAAAATGTATTTCTCCATTATATGCAAGATATAATATAAGATTAACACATTTGCTGCAGTTGCATAATGGTCAGCCGTGGCTGGGTGCGGGATCCGCCAATACGCTGCATGGATGGGTGTGAAAAAATGTTTAAATTCAGTTTCATCGATAGGGGACGCACAGTAGAGTGTATACTATGTTTCTGTGTTTGCGGACATTGTTATACAAGAAACCAAAAGATAGCAGCACTGAACAAAATTGCTAACAAGCCCTCAGTATTGGCAAACACAGGAAACAAGCAGGGACAAAGTACTTGCATATAAACCAACAAAATTACTGCAAAACCAACAATGAAGCAAGCCATAGTACTATGTTCAACCTCAAAATGAGTGCAAACCCCATCCTTTTAATCTTCCGATTTTGTCCACCATTATAATTATAGCTACATATATTGTGCCTACAAATCCTCAGGTAACACACCCACCCTAAACAAAACTCCACTTTGGCAGGAAACTAAATACACACTAAACTAAATGTAAAAACAGACACCACACGCAGCCATGGCATAAATCTTCTCCGGCAAATGGCTGAGCTCACATTGAAGCAATATATAAGTAGAGGAGCCAGGAGATGTCTCCCGTGCCAGCCCAGGAGACGAGGATTGGCGCCTGCAGCGCTTTACAAGTTTACAACAGTTAGTTGGCTTACGTAAGTTTCCTCATTAAGAATTGTTTATTTTGGCTTCAGAATGTACTAGGGCCTAGTGTACCTTTTTTCTTGAATTCAAGCAATTGCAAAGTATTACGTTATTTTAAAACAAATAACAGTCATTACTTCCGATGACTTTAAAAGAGGTTGTAGGAGAGCACACTTAAACCCAACACGGAAGGGTGCTTGCTGTATTCGGCTATCAACCACAATAGTATTATTTGTATTTCATTCACGTCTTCCAGTTAAAGTTCGTCGGCCTCTTCCTATTGGCCGTCATGGTCGAAGTCTTATGGTCTGCATTGTGTAGTTTTTTGGTTACGTTTTGATTTTGTGCAAATAAAAACTTATTTAAAACAGTGAAACCTTTCACTTTCAACTAATCTAATCAATCCTTATAGCACATGTCTCCAAGTTTAGTATACCCAGCTGTTTCAAATATTAGTGTAAATTTTCAAAGTTTATTCATCTGTTCAAATGTAAACAAACATTTTCTCTCTAAGAATAACATGGGAACTTTGGAGGCCACTGGGACAGAACCCTGATGGATTCCAAAGTTTTTTTGTTTGATGGCAAAACTACATGCTAAGACCTTTCTAACGACACCTTGGACATAGTAATTGGTAGCACCACCGCTCCAAACCAATTATGTCAAAAATATGCCTAGCAAAAAAATATATATGGATTTTCTGGAAAAAAACAAGGGTTTCACGCTGTTATTCCCACAGTAGACTGAAAATGTTGTTGGTACTTGTAATTGAATTATGAAAACTGTACTTCTGTACACTTTACATTGATACTGAACTGAAATTTGACTTTTGCCATCTCATACTAAGATAATCAAGAGTTAACATTCAGTTAAACTAAACGCCAACCGTCTAATGCCTTTTACCTCAGCTGAGCTGCCTATACAGATTTCATACCACCTGCCAGACACTGTCCGCCAAAAAATCAGCTCTAGAGGCTTTCCATAGTTATTAATTGAATTTTGTATGATAGAAATCACTCAAAATGACTTCTAAACTATCCAGCTCCCATATAAAAGCTATCCATCCAACTGTCAAAAAAAGAAAATGCACCAACCCAATACTTAATAATGCACAATTGAGATACTGCATTATCTTACTTACAGGTACTGTCCAGGCCACTGCCTTGTCTGTAGTGAGTGTTTGAGCCAACAAGCTGCGGAAGCCGTGTGGATCCTCCATGTATGACAGACATCCAGCTCTCTGCTTGACACCCACACAGCCAGCCAGCATACTCCTGCCACATACAGACACACTGAATAACTTTCGTATAACCATGATATGTGGTTTTATTTAAATATTTATCCTGTATTCAGTAACATCAGTGTTGCTTACTATAATTTGAGGATGAATGAGCTATGAATCTACTTGCATGCCTTCCTCTTGCTCCCATAAACCTTGGCACAAAACTCATCATCAATATTTCAACATTTGTTTAAAAATGTCTGTTAAAGAAAATTTAAATCTTCAACAACTGCTCTCTCTCAAGAGATGTTTGGAAAGCTATATTGACCACAAGGAATCAAACATGCTTGATGTACTGATAGACAAGACTTATGGTTCCCTAATCAGGCTGAGACAGCTGGTATGGAAGCACTCAAATCTCACCATGATCTAAATTGATACCCTAACCGTCCACTTGGTGGAGAGGTCACCCAGGACGCACCCTAACTACGCACTTCCACCCTTCCAAGAAATCTCAACGTCGATCAATCAAATCGAAACAAATAAATAACAACTAGCAACTTGTCAACATATTATTTTTACAAAGATGAATTTTTGTAACTTACGCTAACAAATCTAATTTTTCTTTGTTTTTCTGATCTTCATAAGGAAATCCCTCCTTCCGTTGGTTCTTTGAGACCACTGTCATAATCAGCATCTCTATCTCTATTGATTTAAAACTTTTCAAAAATGGAAAAAAATTGGGAATATTAGGATGCAGTTATGAATTTCATTATGTAACCAAGAGCAGAAATCACGCTATTTTGTACAGAGTGGAAACACTAAAATTTTAATTGGTGCTATAAATTATAATTTTGTATAGCAGGCTTACCTGAACGGAAAAGTGTTTTTCTTTATAAGAATTACTTAAACTACACTACTAGAAAAAATTAAAATTTCACATGATCTGATCTGATGAACATCTGAAAATACTTAACTAAAGTATTTTGAGTTGGAAAGAGAGATTTGGCATAAAATGCAGGGCTGTGCGAATAATTCGAAAAACAAATCGAATCTAAATCTTTTTGGAGATTCGATTCGGATTCGAAAACGAATCTACTGTTTCTAACTGGATTCAGATTCGATATTCAAATTTCCTGGAAATACACCCGAGTTGGGATTCGATATTCGAATTTACCACATTCGGATTCAATATAATTTTCATCATCTGATTTTGATTCAAAATATTGGGTCCAGCATTCAAAGTGTAAGGTACCAAATTTTAAGGGGGGTAAAAACGTACTACGAATAAATGAACACCAGAACTTACCCGATTTTTAACCACAATAGCCTACTCCTAGGCCTATGTGTTGGCCATAGCTTGGGCTATGGGCCAAAGAACGTAGGCCTATTTTTATTCACAGTGAAGTACACAAACAAATCTGTTGTGTAAATAATAATAAATAAAAAGGACAAAATCAAGTTTAATTAAAGTTCAGCCCATTTTGGCATACATACTTAAAAACAGACTCATTACTAGTCATTCCTCTTTTCCTAGTTGGCAATCCTGCCAGTGACGTAGCATTACCTACTCCTTTTTCCTCTTATCTCTTCTTCTTGTCAATGTCAATCTTACATTCCCGCCCGCTATCGCTTATCACGCACCAGTTTGTGCCTTGAACTATATTTATACCGTGATCGGTTTTAAATTAAATAATTATCGTGTCTCGCCTCCGGGATTCTCTTTGTGTCCGTGAACGACGTTATCCACAACCCCACTATGGCAGGATGATCTTCGCTGGACCAAGGGGCCCCTGAGAATTCTACACTCCACACTCCAGGCCGCCGACCACGCTTCGTACAGAGAAGAAAGGATCGGTCGTGAGTGATACTTCAATTTTACTACTAGATAAGACCTCATTAATTATTTTCTTTCAAGTTTCAGATGTGTCATTTTACTGCTCAATTTATTCGAACGTCATAATACAATACAGTCCACTAATTAAATTACGTCACTAATTCAATATTCAAACAATCCATAACATGTTTGGCCTTACGAGTCGGATTATAAATTATTTCGCTATGGATATTGTTATTCAACCAAATTCATTTTAACTGAAACTCAGTTTTATTTTAATCATCCAAAAAGTAAAGCTATGAACATTTCAATCTCGAACAGGAATTTTCATTCAAGATAACAAGTGTTGTGAGTTTGCCGGTATTTCCAACAGGGATGCCAATCGCTGGTGCACAAACTATCAATATCCCTACTTTTCCCACTTATCCCGTACGTTTTAGAAAAATCCCCGCTCCAATAAAAATCCCTGAAAATCCCTAAAAAAATCCCTGAATATCCCTTAGGATCTAAAAATATCCCTGCATCAAAAATTATCCCTATTTTCCCGTTTTTACCTTTGTTTACATTTTTAAACAATGAGGTTATATTGACATTTATTAATGAGTGAAACTTATTGAAGTGAATTTTCCTGCCATTTCATTTAACTTGTGTACACTCATAAAGATTGAAATTGAAAATTGACTCTTTAAAAATTACTGAATATAACTTGAATTCTCTGTGAAACTTATATCCTCAAGATACTATTTATATTGAAGATTTTACATTTTATTTTATTTCCTGAAGAAGCATATATTCTTATTTATTTTTACAATTCAAGAGGATTTAAGATTGATCTACTGCACACATTATCCTTTGTTAATCAGTGCATAATACATACAAGTTGATAAGCTCACAGTAGAGATTGAAGATTGTTTCTACAGTATCAATATTGATTAAATTTTAATTACTCTGTACAACTGGGAATAACTATCAATAGATGCATTGAAGAAAAATATTAATTTTACGGTCAATTTATTTACTGCATTGAACATTACCTCAATTCTAGCACTGTGTACCCTACTATTGAATATTATCAAGTCAATATGTATGAATGAATCTGATCTCTGTTCATATGCTCATTGGATATTAAGCTTAGCCTATTACTCATTTATATTCTGACATTTATATGCATATTCATGTGTCAGTAATAATTTCTTACTCAATTTCAATTGAACTAATGTGTTCTGAGAATTTCCTCATTGCTTAAATAGGCTAATTAATTTCTCTGTGGTATTTTTACAATTATTAGTCCTACAATTATTGGAGTTTGGAATAGTGAGAACATGCTTTACACAATCTTTTGTGGCCTACCGCTAACTTCAATTTTATGCACCTAGTGTCCATACTATTTGCCTTGTAATATTTATGCAAACAAAATGCCTCCATTGCGCTTTTGTAATTTTACCAAGCAAGCTTCTCTGATAAAACTAAGGTTGAATTCTTTTGAACAACAAGTTACTGCATTCTCAGAGAAGACGGATCCTTTACTAGAAGCAGACTTAGCAAAAATCAAAATTATTGATGAAACTGCTACAAAGAAATGTAATGATTTTGAGTCAATGGTTAGTAAATTATATAGTGCTGATAAACCAGATGAAGATATTAAGGATGCTGATGTTGTTAAACTCCAAGATGAAATCTCTGATCTTTATATTAAAATCCACAGCCTCTGTGCGATTCTTGTTCCCAAAGCGGATCCCAGACTGGACCAATCTTATTCCAGTGTCAACAGCGGTACAGTAGAATTTACAGGTGTAAAACTCCCTACTCTTAAGCTAGGTGAATTCTCTGGCCAAGCTGACAAATGGATAGCTTTTTATAGCTTATTTGAAAGCACTGTTCACAAAAACTCTAAACTCTCGGATGTCGAGAAATTTACCTACTTACTGTCTTGTCTACATGGAGAGCCATTAAATTTGATTAAATCATTGCCCATCACTGCTGCCAATTATCATATTGGTTATCAGCAACTGATTAAGCGCTACAACAATTCTAGGCTATTGATAACACTTCACATAAATAATATCATTGATTTGCCTTCTGTACATAATAGCTCTGTAAAACAAATGAGATCATTTGTGTCATCCCTACAGGAAAACATTAGTGCCTTGCGTGCCTTAAACGAGGACCTCAAAGATGAGAGCATATTTATGACTATATATCTCCTCAGGAAATTTGATAATGATTTCAGATCCAAGTTTGAACATGATAGGACTGATTCACAACAGGTACCAACCATCAAGGAACTCATTGATTTTATTGAAACCCAATGCAATCAACTAGAGGCAGCTAATCTCTCACTTGTACCTTCAAGAATCTTAACCAACGCCAGTATGCAAAGGAGTTCTTCGAGTAATCAAGTAGCATTCAAGTCTACTCGTGGATCTTACCAAAACCGCACTGCCCTACTGACTGCGCAAAATAATTGTAACTTCTGCTCTTCGTGTGATCATGTCATATACAAATGCTATAGATTTTCTAATTTAACCCCAGCAGATAGACTAAAGTTTGTACAAAGCAACTTATTGTGTAATAATTGTTTGGGTCAACATAATGTCAGAACTTGCAACTCTCTCCGATCTTGTAATATATGTCAACGTCGACATCATACTATGCTCCATTTGAATGCACAAAGCAACCATCAACCCTCTAACCAATGTCTCAACAGTTCTAAACAATATCAATCAAGGAATAATCCTCGTTAACATACCTCTGCTGGATCAAAACCTAATTCTGCTGCTAGCAATGCCCCTTCTGAACCCACACAGAGCAATACCTCTGCAACTAAGGGCTCTACATCAAATGCTACGGTCTTAGTAGGTTTATCTCATTGCAGTAACAATGTAGTTCTACTAGGAACAGCCCTAGTAAATGTATGCACTCCCAATGGAAATAATATTGTCGCACGCGCTGTGCTCGATAGCGCTGCTCAACAAAGTTTTCTCAGTGATTCATGTGCACGCAGATTAGGAATTTCTCGAGTAAAATCATCAAGTCATAAAATTCTGGGAATATCATCTGCTACTGTCTCCACTAAAGGACTCTGTTTTTTGAACATTACTTCAATGAGAGGCCACGTGGTTGCGAAAAATCATCCAGTTGTTGTACTCGATAACATTACTACTAGCCTACCTGCTTGCCACATATCAAGAGAGGTTAAGGATCGTACATTCAAC